TTCGCGGATCTGTTTCTCGGTTTCGAAAAGATGAGCAAACATAAGTATTTTTTTTTTTTGTAATATGCCAAATTTATTAAGGGCAAGCTTGAACTTTAACCACATTTTTTATTAAAAATAAATCAAAAGAATAAAAGTGTTTATAACAAAGTTTATTAAAAGTTTGTTTTGAGAAGTATTTAAGGTTACAATCCTTTTTTCCCAGCTTTTTATCATTCAACCCATTTGATTTTTTTTTCAACCGAGAAATATTAATAACACCTTACCAAATACATCATTTGTATGATGCTCCACCATTATATCTACTACTACTACTGCATAGTAATTATCTCTATAAAGTACATGAGACATCTTTATTTATAAAACAGAAATTGTGATAAATGTTGGTACGAAAATCCCAATAAGTAAATGAGATAGATCCAAGAATTTTTTACAGGGATGGTCAGAAGTTGACAAAGAAAATATGACATAAAATACATACTTTTGCACTAATATTTCCACTTATTCACTCCGAGTAATCACTGTATTCTCTTATTTGCGATTCTTAACTCTGGACTTAGAATTGTCTGTGTAGTTTCTTTTCTTTTTCAACACAAACTAGGTGACTGACCCACATCCTTGTGCGGGTATAATTTTTTTTTCTATGAAATAAGTTAATTCTAATAATAATCCAAAATTTACTATTTATAAAAAAATTGAATTCTCTTATGTATGTAATATAAAAAATAATATGTGTGAAATAATATTTTAAATATTTTGAGTGTTATTTTAAAAATTAGTGTTTTTTCGTTTTGTAACTTTTGTATTTGTGTTTAAATAAAACTAAAACGATAGATAACATTATGTAAAATTTTATAATTAGTGAAAGAATGTTTTGACATATTGGAAAATTTAGAAATGGTGAGAAATTTAGNAGACACAATACTACAATCTTCAAGGAAAAACACAAAACCAAACAATTTTTTTTTAATTTTTATTTTTAAGTGATTTGTAAACCGCGTCTTGCGTATATATGCTTCAAAAATTTGTAAACTCCGTGTATGGTAGTGTTATCATTCGTTGATTTTTATNTTTTGGTTTGACATTTGTATAAAGTTTGTTAATGTTAATAAATTATCTACATATGTTTTATTTATTCTTCTCAGTCATTGTTTTGTTTTTCTTCTTCTTTCAATGTTTTCTCTTATTTTCATCGTCTTCGTCTTCTTTGTTTTATATGACGTCTTCTTTTTCTTTTTTTTCCGGTCGTGCTTCTTTTCGGTTTTTGTTTTTTTGTTCTTCTACTTATTAATTCTCCTANCTTTTCTAAGATTCTAATTTGCTTCCAAATTGGCAAGATTTTTTTCTTTATACTCCGACATAGTTTTCGTTATTTTCCGG